AATGTGATGGGCAGTTTATTATCTTTATTTTCTATTATCTTTATTCAAAATCCGGAGGAAATGCTCATTAAAAAGTGTGATTATTTATGATAACAATCCGACAAGCTAGTCCAGCTAAAAATAGTGCTTTAAATGGCAATAAAAGAATTTAAGCAGTATTTAAACCTCATAGTTAAATAGAAAATCAGGCAAAAACTACAAAAAGGTCCAAAAAAAACCCACCCCTTTCACCAGGCTGGCTACAGACCTGTTAAGTGTATTAATTTATTTACATCATGAAGAAAATACAGCTTTATTCAATTCAATTTATATTTAATTGTACAGCGCTTTTAGTGTCGATTGTGTCAAAGCAGCTTCACATAGAAGATTAAAGTGAATTAAAACAGTGTCAGTTCAGTTTTCGGAGTTTAAGTTCAGTGTGTTTTAATATTCACTGCTGGAAGTCCAAACACTGAAGAGCAAATCCATCGATGCGCAGCTCTACAAGTCCTGAACTATGCAAGCCAGTGGCGACAGCAGCGAGGACTAAACTTCACCAGTTGGCGAAAGTGAAGGAAAAAAAAACCTCGGGAGATCCAGGGTCAGTTAGCACGACCATTTCTCATATGGCAAAATGTCTTGTGGAGAGCTGGGGTCTCACAGGAATCACTCCTCCATGACCTCCACAGCAGCTGCTACGGCCTGGTTCGGGAATGTGGAAACCTTGGGATCATCTCTTCAACAGGTCTTGGATCGCTTCAGTGGCACTGCATAATCTCTGGGGGCCTCGGGATGAGTATCCTCAGGTGGAAATAAAGGAATAAAGAGAATAATTAGTGTAGCTGCTGTTCATTGGGTAAATAAACGAGATGAAGAAACCTGCGTGGAGGACATCCATGCATCATACCGCTGTGATGTGATACATTAAGTGTACGCTTTGCTAAAGATAGGTCTTTAATTGAGTTTTGACCTGTAAGAGTATGTACATTTGTGTGTGTACATTTATTTATTTCTGTATACTCTTTAGACTCGATCATTTGTATATTTCCTCTATCTCTACTTGTTATTTTATTATACTTTATGTACTTCCCTACAAAATCATCTCAATCAATCCAATATTATTAATTAAGGTATTTTGTGAAATATCGCAATATAAATTGAAAAAAATCTAAATATACATTTTTTTTCATTATCATGCTGCCCTACAGAGTAAAATAATATTGTGCGTGCATGCATAAATATACCTACTGCTGTGTTTTACTATATTTTGAGAGCTGAGCTGCCTATTTTGAGACATATCAATGTAAGTGTGAAAAGCTCTCTCTTACACTCACACTATACTCCATATAAAACCAGAAACTAAGCTTTTTTTTGCACTGCAACTGATGATCAGCAGTAAAAATGACAAATCGTACCTCTTTCCAACAGGGAAAACTACCAGTAATCAAGAATGCATGATTATATGCTGTCATGGCTTTACAATCAAAAAATGTCATTATAATGGAAGTCAATGGGGTAAAAACAGCCCCAAACATAATGAAAGGGTAGTCAACTTGCCTGCAGTATATTGAGTTTTTAAAAATTTCCAAAGCATTTTCCTAAAATATGTGTTAAAATAAGATTTGTCAACAAAAATCATTCCACTTGTTGGAACACAAATTAAGCATCAAAATCATTCCAGAGTCATTCCTGACAGCACACAAGGGTTAAAGGTGCTGTATGTAAGAGTTTGACTCTTGCAAAGCTTAGAAACACCCATCATGTTTGCAGATATTTAGGAATCATGCTAAATGAACATTGTTTATCTGAAAAACAATGTTGAAGTCAGATATTCTGCTTTGAAAATGTGTGTTATGTGCCTGAACAGCAGTCTTTCTTTTGGTTCTTTTAACCCGCCCAATGCCAGTTTAGCCAATTATATTTCAGCATCCCAAGTTGCCTTGGTGCAAAAACAGTGTATATGATTCATTTAGCCAGGAAGGCTCTCAATGCATGTGTCCGTGACTGAAATGCGACCTCTGGTGGACAGTAGCAGACTCAGAAATAAGACACAGATTCATAGTTCCACCTGAAGTGGTTATTAATTAGTAAATATATATATATATATATATATATATGAATGTAAACATTAGGTGAGCAGGTTATATTCTAACCCTGTGTCCTAACAACACAATACATGACGAGATTTGCAGTGATAATTTGGCTGTGTGCACCAGATCAATCATGACAGAAATTTAAATACAGCCATTCAAAAGCAAAGAATAGCGCACTCACTGCACTCCGGTGAAATGGTACGGTCTATAATGCAACTAATCCATATTAAACCTCTCTAATAATATTAAATGTAGATGCTGAATCACTGATATGTGTTGGAGTCACAGTTCAATCTCAAACGGTTTTATTTTCCAGACCTGAGGTGAACTACCTGCTGCTGTTTTCTGTAGTATGGCAATAAATGTGATGTAAAATAGCATTCAAACTCACAATATTAGCATTAAACCCAGAATAAAGCAAATGAGGTGTACCTGAGGTGATCAATGTCAGTTTATCCTGCAAGAAATAGAAGCTGTGTCTAAAATATAGATTTTGTCCTAACAAAGACCTGGGCCCGGTTTTTCAAAAGTAATCCACTAGGATTTTGGATAAGGGATTGGATCAAATCTTAAAAATGGGTTTTTCAAAAGAAAAAACGGATTACCTAATCGGATTAGATCACGTAATCCAATCTTGGTTTTGATCCGGATCAAACCTTTACTTTGGGTTTTTCAGACCTTTTTTGTAGGATCTGCATCACTTTGATCCAGAAAACCTGGATTAAACTGATCCCATCAGAAGGGTGGATTTAGCATGGATTTCATGTCCAAAATGTAATGAAAACTTAAAAAATGTATTAAATAATACTATTTTTGGATCATGCAGTATCTTACGAGATTTACTATTGATTCATAAGGTTTTCATTTTATTTGTTCATCTGTCAGGCTATAGTGAGTATAGGCTTTAATGTATTTAGCCTTTCAGTATAGGCCTACAGCAAAGTAGAGAGTTTGGCCTCATAAAATAATCCCCCAAACAGCTGTCAAAACTGACCAAAAACAATCAATTTTATTCTTTCACTAACTGATATATATATATATTCAGCACAATGAAAAATATTTTTCTTTTTAGAATATTTATTAGTGATGCATGCAATGATTACAGAATAACAAAGAAAAAAAATGCAAACAATGGCAATGACTGATTTTTAAAATCTCTTTCAACAATTGCAAAAAGAGACTGGGCAGAAGCACAGCTTCGTCTGGCAGAGAAACAAGCTGCTCTCTCCACATCAGATGAGGAAGTCTGAACTTATTGTGGAGTTTTTGACATTAAGTCTTTTTTTTTTATTTACATCTATATTTAAAACTTATTCTAAATATCCTCAATGTACAGTGTTGTAGGTCTCAGATGAGCGGACTGCTTAAAGAGGATGGGGTGGGGTTTTTCTTGTTTTTATTATTTATTACTATTTTAATAATTATTAAAAAATTTTAGTTTTCATTTCAAATAAAAATAAAGTTATATTGATCCCACGCTGACTATTCTACTTGTCACTCTTTACATATCTATAGTTCTACATTGTGATTTCCTATCCTGTTTAAGCACTAGTTATCCAGATTTAGTGATCCTGAAAAGTTCCTACCCGGATCAGATTGATCCAATCCGATGTTGCTTTGAAAAACTGGTTCAAAAAGTAAGCTGGATTACTTGATCACGGATCGCAAAAACAGGATTACTAAATCTGGATCAATTTTATCCGGATTAAACCTTTTGAAAAACCGGGCCCTGGGGTCTGTTCTTCGTACGTGTATAACTCAGTTAGCTGGATTTGGATATTGACGATTTGACACGATCCAGGATCGTTTCGTTCTTCAAAGCTGATCCGAGAGTTGTCATAGCAACCAATTCTGCTAGGTCAAACCTAATCAGGAGCAGGTTCAATTCATATAAACAGGATTAGATCAGCTTAGATTAAGCAAAGATAATACAGAAAGTATGTTCCCAATTCTGATATTTTCTTACAGTAGTAGTTATATACACTTGGGAAAATGGTACATATTTTTTAACTATATATATATAAAGTTATAGTCATTAATAGAATAAATTAAGTTATACATATTAATAAAACGTATGCAATCTGCACCCTCGAAATGAAAGTACAAAGACTGCCACCTGGTGGTGCAAAGAGAAAACTTATTGATATGAACTTTTTAGCTCGCTTTAGTACAAATTATGTATAATAGAAATGCACAATATGTGACTTTTTTTAAGCAATAATACATTTATGCAGTCATAAACATGTTTTGACAGTTAATATTGCCTGTCATATTTAACAAACCGTTTACTGCTAATTTGATGTAATTTTGCTCACATGGATAATTGAATATTAATCAGATGATGTCATTTCGCTGCTGTGCCGTCAGCCAATCGTTGCATTGCTGATCATGATTTCGAGGATTGATAGATCTGTCCTTCACAACACACGCAGCGATCTCAGATCAGTTTATCCAGACATTCTAATCTGATTCATGAACTTGTTTGAAGAACCAAATTAGCGAGAGATCAGTTATCAAGATTAAAAGATCCAGGATCTGCCAAATCATTTAGATCATTTAAGCGAGGTACGAAGAACAGACCCCTGAAATTTGTATCACGTGCCGTTTTTATTTAGAACACGACTTAAATCAGCCTTTAGGCGCAATAACAAGGTACACTTATGTTTATGTCGTCAATCTGGCAACCTGCATGCGTTTTTATCCAGAAGTGCAATACCTCGTTCAACCACTGGGTGGTTACACACTGCACCGTTAATAGAGTTACCCAACGACTTCAATGAAAAAAACGATTAGAACCTTTTTATTTTTTTGCAACCGGATGAATGGTGTTTTATTTGAACAAAAACCAATGGAACAGTTGAAAGTGTCCAATACACAACATTCATTGAGGCAGCAGGAGGGGGGAAAAAGTTACAAGCATAATGGGACGTTTTTTTATTATTTTATTTTCTTTATCAAAAATGTTATCCATTTCAAATCTGGTGAACGTCTGTAAAACAAGACAAGATAAAAATCAAAGACTCAGTGATGGTGTCTTTCCTCAGCCCTCCAGAACAGACATTACAAGAGGTGACGGGATTTACTACTGAAGTCTATCAGCTGATTAAACCATGACGGGTTTAAACACCCAAAATAAAGAAAAGCAAACTGTGGAGAACGCTAGAGCTAGCAGATCACTGCGCACCATGGCTTCTGTTCAATTACCTACACAAAACTTTAACAGGAAGAAAATTATACATATTTGTACATATATATATTTATAAAAAAACAAAACGAAAGCACTATTTGTAAGTCTACTCCAGACGGCGCGCAGCCGATAACTACAGTGTTTTGCTTTTTACCTCGAAATGCATTTGGAAATTGAGATGGTAGATGCCATGTTGGCAAGATTTTGCAGTCAGTTTATTGTGAGTCTGTTCGGGGGACTTCAACATGGCAAGTTCAGGACAGAGGAAAGATGGAGCAAAAAACAAAACAATCTGAAGAGAAGAGGGAGGAAAAAAGCATCATTCTTGCTCCACGAAAAAAATAACAAAAAAAGCCAAAGAAGCAATTTGGAAACAGGACTGGGGAAAATGTGGATTATATTCCTCGATTTCAGCTTCAGTCGTCATCACCTTCATCATCCTGCAACAGAAGATAATGGGAGATTATTTGATTAGATGCAGTTTGACTAGGTTTCAATATGTGATGCATTCTAGGACTAACAGCTATTTTAAGAACTCTAAACATCCTCTTTACATGATTTTATATTTGACTTCTGTTTTTGAGCCTCATCGGGTTGCTGTATGAGTGGGTGTGGCCAATTATACTCATAGTAAACACCCACTTCTCTGATTGGCTGACTGATTAGCATTTTAACAGCTTAACAGGCAACGGATTAACAATGGGTGCAGATTTTCTGTGGAGGCGGAGCTTATCCACTGTTACATCACAGAGTAGAACATTCCAGAACCTGCTGTTTAGTCAGACGCTCTTCAATATTAGCTGATTTTAGAGAATCCACAAAGTTTTGCGTTCTGAAATTGACAGGATGCTTTTATAGTACTACAAGCTCTTATAGGTCACGAGATTGAGAGAATTTAAGTTTCTCATTTCATGACCTCTTTAAAAATGAAAAATTCACATTAAAGTGCATTTCACACCTCTCCATCATCATCGTCCTCTTCCTCTCCATCATCATCTCCCTCTTCATCAATATCATCCAGACCTTCCTCATCGTCGTCTTCATCCTCTCCTTCTCCTTCCTCATCCTCCATGTCTGGGACCTGAAGGAGGAAAGAAAAAAAGTCAATCATACGAGTTCAGCTTTGAATTGCAAATGAATTACTCGTGATTTCCATTCAGTTGCATAAAAAGGAAGAATTGTTTCACCACATCATTTAAATGACTCCCAATGGGGACTAAATAACGCAAAGAGTTTAATCTCAAACATTTTAAAGCGATGTGTCTGTTTCATGTGGATGCTTTTCTGGAAGTCTAACTACGACTGGTCTAATAAACAAGATGTTGCATAGTGGTAAATGTGAAGAGCAATAGATTTATCATGAGCTCTGGCTATTTATGCTAAATACAAATTAATCTGAGAGCCAATCAAACAACAGAAGTATGCAACAAAAGCCAATCAGTGCATTTAATCTGTGCATTAAAGCCAAACACTGTTAACAGGCTAGACTTGCAAAAAAATAATCTACAAATTGGTTGCTCTAACTAAAATTTAAATATTTGTGTTTACATTTTGCAGACTAATCGACCCCTTAAAGGGCAAAACACTGTCTGACAGAGTTGCCTTAATGGATTAAAAAAATAAATAAAACACGATTAATTTACAAACCACTTTACTTCATGCACATTCCTAATAACTTTGTTTTGCCACAAATTGGACTTAACCCTAAATGTGTAATTTGTTCGTGTTAATCTATCATTGTAACTTAATTACACTACAGAGCTGTTGGATGCTTGATATTGATTGGCTATTGAACATTCTAAGATTGGGGTGCCCAAACTTGGTCCTGGAGGGCCGGTGTCCTGAATATTTTAGCTCCAACTTTCTTCAACAAACCTACCTGGAAGTTTCTAGTGTACCCAGAAGAGCTTTATTAGTTCAAATGCATTTAATTCAGATTTGGAACTAAAATATGCAGGAAACCGGCCATCCAGGACTGAGTTTGGGCACCTCTGTTCAAAGCTGTGGCATTATATTCAGATAACCACACGACTAAAAGAAGTTCAAGAAAAGTTTTGGCTGCAATATGGAACAATTGATAAGCCACTGAATTATTATAATGCACACAAGGTGTAACAGCCACTGTGCTAAGCACATCAGGTGCGCTTAAATAATTAAATGACCCGTCATTAATTATTTTTTCCTTAATTAAATTTTACTTTTTCAAAGCTGGCAGCATTAAAGGGATTTTTCACTCAAAAATTTAAAGTCATTTACTCCCATTTGGACTTGTTCCAAACCGTTTTAAAATTTTTTTGGTTCTGTTGAGCACAAAATGATCATTTTAAGAATATCAAAAACTTGTAACGATTAACTTCCATTGTAGGAAAAACAAATATGAGGGAAATCAATGGTTACCGGTTTCCAACATATTTCACAGCATCTTTATGCTTTTCAACAGCCAACTCAAAATTAAACAAGTTTGCAACTAGTCAAGGCTGAGTAAATGACAACACTTGACATTTGTGGGTGAACTAACCCTTAAATTATTAAGAAAGAGTTAGTTCACCCAAAAATGAAAATTGTTGTGATTATATATTTTGCCACATAACTCAACCCCAAGTCTCACCAAGTAGTACTGTAGCGGATTAGGCCAGATGTCGTCTTTAATGACTTCTCCCAGTTCATCGGCCCCTGAATCAGCATGATCCGTGAACCAGGTGAAGAAACTCTCTGGCTCTTCATGTTGTCTTTTCTTGCCTGCTTTACTCTGTGTCTGACTGGACCGGCTTGTGAGATCCTATAAATAAAAAAGTTTCAGTATTATATTCAGAACTGTACAAATCTCAGTCTGAGAACTCTATAAAAACAAACAGTACACACTTTTCCCGGTTTCCATTTGATCTCTGTTGACTTTGAGGTTGGGTCTCCGCTTTCGTTCAGGTGGATTTCTTTGGAGAGGACTTTGTTCTCGAAATACATGTTTTCATCGAAATACTGAAACACAAGAGAGATGGGGAGTTATTGAAATGCTAAGATTCTGACTTGCATAAATGAAATGAAAACTTCTACCACTTACAAAATCTATTCTGTAGCCAGATTTGATGTCTTCAAACTCTGTGACCTCTACTCTGGTCAGATAGTGAAGCGCCTCTTCATCTTCCTCCCCAAGAAGAGCCGAAACTAGAAAAATCAAACAATATCCCGTGAAACGTTGATTTAACATTCTGTATTGAGGTGTATGAGAGTCTGCACGGGAACTCACCTTGTGGGTGGTTGACAAACGTTGTGACCCAAAAGTTTGGGATTTTGGCGATGAGTTCTGACCTCTTCTGGAAGAACGGCTGGCGGAGTTTGTTGTACTTCTGTTCAACTTTGAGAATTTCCTCACTTGCCTGCTCATTCAGTCTGGATAAAATAATATAAAAAGTTTTAAAATTCACTTACAACATTTTTATATACATAAAATGAGATCTAAACAAACATTTATATACAACAAATTCTAATTATTAGTTTAATTATAATACAGCCAATACAAAATGTTTTAGATAGATTTAAATATCCATTATAAACATCAAACTAACAAAATAACATTGTAAATAAAAAAAAAGATTTTTGCAGGTTTCATGGAGTTAAATTTAAGACTTTAAGACTATTATGAACAAAAATATCGACTTATAAAGCGCTAAAGATTAAGGAATTTTTCAAATGGCATAGATGGAAAAGATTTTTATTTAACCTAACAAAAATATTTATAATAATTTAATACAACAATAACTTAAAAATAAACTATTTATAATATTTATAATTAATAAATGAACTATTTATTTCTTAGCGAAATATTTTAAATAGTTTAAAAATAAGCGAGCTCTACTTGTGTCCATACACTTTTCCCCCAACATAAACTCTTATATTTATATTTATATTTATATATATATATATATAAAAGTTTTAAAAACTATAATAAACTAATTCCATGGGCAACAATCCGTGCAGGTCGGTGTCTCCAGCAGTAAATACATGGAGAACATTTAAACAAATGTTATTGCAAGGAAAATAAACCATTGTGATAAATAGGGTTAAAAATTGCATTTTAAAATAAAAAGTTTAAAGTTTTTAGATAGATTGTTGATGATTGTATGGGTTTTGGCTAGATTAAGCAGCAATACATAAACAAAGGAAAATGAAGACCCTTTTAAATAATTTAAGACCGACAACACAATATTTCCATAAATTTAAGACCTTTTTAAGACCTAAAATTTGGATTTTGAGATTGAAGACATTAAGATATAAGATATATAAGACCCTGCAGAAACCCTGAGAAACATTATTTTAACTTTTAAATATTTAAAAACAATAGTTTAGGTTTATTTATAGCTTTTTATTTTATAAATTAAATTACTGTTGGTGAAATAAGTAAAATAAACTATAGATGTTTTATAAAAGTTAAACAATTTTTTTACCATCTTAAATGAACATTAAAAGTAAACTAAAATATAAAAGAGTAAATTAATAGAAGCTAAATGTTTTAAAACAATATTTTAGGTTCATTTATATCATACTATAACTTATGGATCTACACAAAAAATAACCATATATGCTTTTAAATCTTAGGATGGGACTCTAAATACACTGAAACCCCCAGCAAAAACATTCTGGCATCAAAATTCTGTAAAAGCATTCAAGGAAGTTAAACTCACCTGTCAATTTCATTCTGTACTTCATCGATGTGCTCGATGGCTTCTTGCTGTTCTTTTTCTAAACAAGAAAAGGCAAAAATCAGCACATTTATTGTGTGTTTTATCATATCCTATACACAGTAGTGATTCAAACTGCTTCACAAAAGAATAACAAAGATATTAGCAGTGATAGCTTAATATAATTATTAAATAAGCGTGTGCTTCATAGAATGCAAGTGTTATTTTACGCGAATATGAATAACTAAATATTTTGTTGATGATATATTTGTACAATTGCATGATATTCTGTTTAAAATAAAATCAAATAAATGCGCAAAACGATCGAAAACGCTTTTATTTCTAATCCAAGCGTTGCTCTACACGTGCAGTAGCATTAAATGGGTTATTGTAAATAAACTCCGTGCATTACATCTTGAGGAAAAGCGTGTATTTGATGCGAGTGCAGTGATCATTGGAACTGAACGGAGCCGCGCAGATGCCGCGTGGTTTAAATGTGCGCTTCCCCGCTCGCGCTGCACCTGCTTCCGCCGCCACCGAGAACACAATCCCACATGAGCCGAAAATACACACAAAACCCACTCCAGCATTAATTTCCACCATTATCGCCTATTTAAAGTCCGTAAACCTCCATTAGATCGTGCTGCATCATGGCGGAGACGCGCTTCTGCTAAGCTAAAGCTAAAACACAACAACAATAAAGCGGCGCGCGGACGCTTCCGTTCCGCATGTTTCATGCGTTTAAAATGCACGTGCTTTTCTAATAAAATAACTCGTGTGATTCATAAAACAAACCCCTTGCGATTTGATTAGCAATAAATACAGCAGTTTCTTCATGTCCTAATGGGGCTTTGTGGCGCGCTTATAGTTCGGCTAGAAATCAAACATGGCCTCCGCCGCCGGTTACTACTGCTGCCGCCGCCGCCATCCAGCAGACTACCTCAGTCTAACCACACAAAGCGAATCAACTAACAATAATAGTGCTTAAAATATATTTCGACACAAGAGAAAGTGAAAATGGCCGCCATCTATATTGCTTACCCGAAGTCTCGTCCCCTCCGTCGTGGTTCGAGTTCAGTTCCTTTTTACTGACTTTAGCCGCTGAGGCAGACATGATTTCGCTGAGCGCCACGGAAACGAGTTTTCAGTGAAAATCGAGCGCTGGTTTTTCAACTCGGCGAGGTAGAAGATCGTCCTCGGCGTCTGGAGATTGTAAAAGGACGAGAGCAGAAACCAGAGTCCGCATAGACAAACTTCCAGCGGCCGCAGATCTCAGTAACTCAAGCGCGCGCTCTGCTCTCTTCTCTTTCGGATAGAACGCGCCCCGCACGAGCTCCGAAATTAAGCCCCGCCCCCTTCCAGAACAACCGCCGTGCTTGTCTCTCCAGCTCTCTGATTGGTTAGCGTGGCGCGTCGCGGGGCGGAGCTACAAAAAGGGCGGGATTTCTGTGAAGCTCTCACAACATGTCATCTGAATGGAGAGAAAATGGTTCTGGACATCAGAACACATCACAGCTAAACACACGACGATGTTTTGTATTGTAATCCTCACTGGGTGATTTAAATACTGGATAGATGAAGTATTAAAGGCATAATATGTTCGATTTTTTAATTAAAATAAATATTAAAAAAACAGTAGAACTGTGTTATATATTTAGCTGACTTGTGTGCTTATATTATCACACAAATGTTTGGAAGAGTGTTCAAACTAGGAGAAATAATCTATTTACAGTGTGTCTGTATTAATGATATCACACACCCTGGATTTCTAGTTTGGTTTTTAAGAAAACTGAAACAGCAGTGAGGCTTTATGTTGTTTTAATGGACTGCTTTATTCAAAATGTATTTGGTCTGATTAAACAGCACTGCTTATTCACCATTTGATCACGAGCTGATTAACTAGAAGTGGCGAAGTTTGACATAATTAAACCTCTGCTGCTTTTGGGCCGGCTTTCAGCCTTAACGCCCCATTCACTTGATGCATGAAGCCTGATTTATACTTCTGTGTCAAGTGACCGGCGTAACCCACGGCGCATGCAACGCGCGTGGCTGTGCATTATACTTTTGTGCGCTGTCTCTGTTGGTCTGCATTAACACTTCCGAAACGCTAGTTGGCAGTGAGGTGTAAATGTTCCTCTGTGTCGAGTTTCTTCGCTGCTGTTTTGCTTTTCCTGAACACTTCCAGGATGTACAAGTGGCTCAAACTCGCTCATTTTGAGGCAGGAACCGGCGGACGTGCAACAACTTTAACTATGAGGTAAACACGAAACAAAACTTTCCATCCAGAGCTCCTTCACGGGACTCCACACTTGTAAACAATCGCTTGCGCCATTTGCGCGGCTCTCGGTCCCGCCCAGACTTGTCAGCGTTACCAAGCCGACCAATCACAAAGCTTGCGCTACGCGTCGTTGCGACGTGTAGTTAAATTTTTTGAGATGTGCACGTCAGTGACGCCGATGGCCACGGCGAAGGGCTATGCGTCAGCGCCGTAGCATACGCCGGCGTTTGACGCAGAAGTATAAATCAGCCTTTAGCGTCACCGCTTGCCATTCACTTTGAATGGGTGACGCCAGGCGTTGCCGAACTGAATTGTGGATCTATCGGCGCTGATTCAGAGGCGCTGCTCGCTGCAGAAGTTGGGACTTTCTCAATTTTTCAAGCGCCAACGGAAGCGTCAGCCAATCAGATCGCTGTATACACCAGCTCAGATAGTAGCCGATTGTTGACTAATTTAATTGGCTAACGCTGCTATGATGATTGCGTCAGCCCCAACTTCAGACACGCCCTCTGTCAAGCGTTGACACTAAAGCCCAGTGTGAGTGCAACTTTATTTGCACACTAACGCCCCATTATGAATGAAATTGTAGACTCAAAGCGCTAAAAGCTAAAGAATTTTTTAATGGCCCAGATGGAAAAGATTTTTATTTGACCCATCAAACATATTAATTATAATTTATTAAATACAATAATAATTTAATAATAAACAATTAAAATATTTTCTATTTTTATTTCTTAGTTAAATATTTAAAATACTGTGTAAAAACAAGCAAGCTCTACTTGTATCCACACACTGATCTGAATCAAGTGTGTTAAGTAAAGAAGACATACAAAATGGACCAGAATTGAGAACCACTGGCCTAAGGTATGGAGGCCAGAGGTTCTCACAAACTGTGCCAACAAACTTGCATACAATAAACCCCAGAACTTCTTCTTCTTTGGCCTTAGTCCCGTATGATTGCGGGGTCGGCTCTTTGGAACAAGTCCTCCATATTAGACTTGTCCATATAATAATTCCCTTTATTAATCCGGGGTCACCACAGCAAAATGAACTGCCAACTTATCCAGCCATTTTTACGCAGCGGATGCCCTTCCAGCCGCAACCCATCTCTGGGAAACATTCACACACTCATTCACACATACAGTCATACACTACGGACAATTTAACCTACCCAAATCACCTGTACCGCATGTCTTTGGACTGTGGGGGAAACTGGAGCACCCGGAGGAAACCCACGCCAACGCAGGGAGAACATGCAAACTCCTCACAGAAACGCCAACTGAGCCGAACCAGCGACCTTCTTGCTGTGAGGCGACAGCACTACCTACTGCGCCACTGCTTCACCCACAATAAACCCCAGAACATTTGTATTATATTGTTTATCCAATGACAATTTGGATTTTCGCTTGTACAGTAGCCCTGAATTGTCAAAACACCTTTCCAGGCGCTAAAAACTGAAAAAAAAAATCAAACACAATTTAAATTGTTTAATGGATGAAAATTTCTGAGGAATGTTTTAATACGGGGGCGAGGCAGTGGTGCAGACATATATATACATATACACACACTCACCGGCTACATTATTAGGTACACCTATCCAACTGTTTATTAACACAAATTTTTAATCAGCCAATCACATGGCAGCAACTAAATGCATTTATGCATGTAGACATTGTCAAGATGATCTGCTGCAGTTCAAATTGTGCATCAGAATGGGGAAGAAAGAGGATTTAAGTGACTTTAAACGTGGCATGGTTGTTGGTGCCAGACGGGCTGTTCTGAGTATTTCAGAAACTGCTGATCTACTGGGATTTTCACGCACAACCATCTCTAGGGTTGACTGAGAATGGTCCGAAAAAGAGGAAATATCCAGTGAGCGGCAGTTCTGTGGGCGCAAATGCCTTGTTGATGCCAGAGGTCAGAGGAGAATGGCCAGACTGGTTCCAGCTGATAGAAAGGCAACAGTAACTCAAATAAGCACTCGCTACAACCGAGCTCTGCAGAAGAGCATCTCTGAACACACAACACGTCCAACCTTGAGGCGGATGGGCTACAGCAGCAGAAGACCACACCGGGTGCCGCTCCTGTCAGCTAAGAACAGGAAACTGAGGCTACAATTCACACAGACTCACCAAAACTGGACAATAGAAGATTGGAGAAACGTTGCTTGCTCTGATGAGTCTCCATTTCTGCTGCCACATTGCCACAGATGGTCGGGTCAGAATTTGGCATCAACAACATGAAAGCATGGATCCATTCTGCCTTGTATCAATAGTTCAGGCTGGTGGTGGTGGTGTAATGGAGTGGGGGAGATTTTCTTGGCACACTTTGGGCTCATTAGTACCAATTGAGCATCATGTCAACACCACAGCCTACCTGAGTATTGTTGCTGACCATGTCCATCCCTTTATGAACACAGTGTCTCCATCTTCTGATGGCTACTTCCAGCAGGATAACACACCATGTCATAAAGTGTGAATCATCTCAGACTGGTTTCTTGAACATGACAATGAGTTCACTGTACTCAAATGGCCACCACAGTCACCAGAGCTCAATCCAATTGAGCACCTTTGAGATGTGGTGGAACGGGAGATTGGCATCATGGATGTGCAGCCGACAAATCTGCAGCAACTGTGTGATGCTATCATGTCAATTAAGGCAGTTCTAAAGGCACAAGTGGGTCCATATATATATATATATATATATATATATATATATATATATATATATATATATATATTGGAAATTTAAACTTTTATTTTGAATGCAATTATTTGTGCTTAATCAGCATTTAAAACCCATTTGGCAGCAGTAGGCACTTGATTTTTCATCATACACTGGCATTATTGTGTCTAATGTACATCTTCTCCCATGCCACCGTCCCGCAGACGCAGCAGAAGCTCCACAGGTTGCAGAAAACTCCTCTGTCGAACGGATTCTCCTCCGAGTCCACATGTTTGAGGTAAAGGATGCGGTGGCGGGACATAAACTCCCATGTGGTGCAGTTAACGGAGGCCAGATACGCATGAATGCACAGCAGGAGGAGGAGAACCACGGAGAAAACAGCCGTCACAGCGAACGCCACGAGAAGAAACACGTTCTGGGTGAACCACTGCTGCCAGCTGGGCGCAGAGATGAACCCGGACCTGAGAGACAGAAACATTTACTGAGCAGCTGATGCATTATAAGCAGTGTTGGCTGTAATGAGGTACAAAGTAAGTAGTTACTGTAATTAAACTACTTTACTGCTAGAAAAAGGTGAAGAAACTCGAAAGCTTAAAACTTCTAGTTTCCATATCTGGTTTCATAGATATTATCGAGGAGCAATAATTTATGACAAGAGTTGTAATTATTACTTTGCTACAGCAATCCACAGGTAAAACTAATTTGAGATGTTTTTTTAAAGGCTAAAAACCCACCAGACTGTCCATACTACTTTAGAATTTAATATCTACTTAATAAATATTGTCAAAAGTATGTAGGAATATGCTTCATGTTCCTCTAAACATACACTGAAATGGGGGCGCTCTTATATGTTTACTAATGGAAACTGAATGTGGCCATGTTTGGTACTGCACCTAAACTCAATCTCACTGCTCGTTTTTTAAAACATCTAGTTCACATTTGTAATATAATTTGTTGAGATATTTAGTTTTATTTTTCTGCCAATTTTAGCCTAAAACAGGTTTTGTAAAATACATATTTTATGTAATATAATAAAATATACATTTATTGTTTTATCAGACTTAAAGAAACAACATAAAGACACAGAATGAGTTACAAAGTAATGTGTGTAATGTGTAATGTAATGTGTATTTATTTTATATAGCGCATTTATTGTGTATGGCCATACACCCAAAGCGCTTCACAATCATGAGGGGGGTCTCTCCACACCACCACCAGTGTGCAGCATCCACTTGGGTGATGCGACGGCTGCCACAGGACAACGGCGCCAGTGCGCTCACCACACACCAGCTATTGGTGGAGTGGAGAGACAGTGATAGAGCCAATTCGGTGGAAGGGGATGATTTAGAGG